GAGCCTTGGTATAAGGGGTGGTGCTCTTGCCACTACGCAGGTCAACCATGGTGAAAGATGTACAACCGAGAATCAGTTCCACTCCTCACCACTTAGACTCTCACCCCCTAACTGAATTAACTTAAGACTGACTCAATCTAAGGACCACAAAATCTTGGTAAGATCCTGTCAACTATGGTCTCTGGCCTAGACCTAAAACTAAGGTTGTCACTACAGGACTTACTGCTGATCAGGAGGCATTTAAGGAGATCCCCCGTAACTCCTCAGGAATTTTTTAACGCCGGTTTGTACCGGTCCTTGGGAGGGTTCGTGTCCTCCGGGTCAGTCAGTCGTCAGACACAACCTTTAGCCCTACTAAGCCTGTGTGGGTTTGGTCAACAAAGCTCCATGACCTCATACACAGAGTTCCTATCACCTGGACAGAAGAGACTCAATGCAAAAAGAAGAGACAAACAGACTCAGCAAGTACCATAGGGTGAGTGCACATCTATAGGGCGAGGGGATAGGCTGAAGGCTTGGCGAGAATATACCAACCCTAGCTTGGTCAATTTCGTGGTCAACAGCTCTGGTCAACGCTGGTCAACACTTGGTCAACTCGCCGGTGAACGCCAGGCAACTCCCCGATCAACTCCCCGGTCAAAGTTTTGGTCAACGTTGATCAATCCCTCGGTCAACGCCTTGGTCAACACTCGATTCGACTATGGCTGCCGACACCTTTCTTCCTCACCAACCTTCTTTATTCTCCTTCTCCCTCCTTCCTCCTTCTTTCTTGCTTAACCCCGGCACTTTCGTCGTCCCTCCTTCCTGCTTAGCTATGACTTCTTCTTTTCTCTTCGTCTCTCCTCCCTTCTCCTCTACTTCACCTTCTTCCTACTTGGTAACCCTGTGTCCGAGCTCCGCGGGTATGGCCGCCTTCTTCCTTGGACCGCACAGCAACCTTCTCTCTCTCTCTCTCTCTCTCTCTCTTCGTCGCTGTCTTCTTTGCAGGTAGGCGGCACCTCTCTTCGATGGTGCAGCTATTGCAGACCTCCCTCCTTCGGAGCGGCTGCAGCTATGGCGCCCAGACAACGATGGTGCGTAGGGTAACGGGAACCTGCTCCGATACCAATGCAATCAGACTAGCTTTCCTCCCCACTTCGCATACATGCAAATAGATGCAATTCACACTGGCGCAGAGCGCCCACTAAAAGCTCAGAGATATGGAAAGCACATCAGCGCCTGTACAACCCAACTCTCGTCACGGTGTCCAACACCACCGTTCGCATGTACTCGACTCTCTCAACTCTGGATCACCCTGAATACCCCACGCACACTCACTCTGTATCCCACACACACACCCACTATCAGCTACCTCTAACCTACGGTGGCTATGGCTGCTCGCCACTACTACTACGGGCGCTCTGTCTTCTTCACAGCCCACTTCGACTACGGGCATCTGCAGACCACCTCGCACAAGACGCTGGGGCAGCGCTTCCGCATGGCTTACGCAGCGAATGAATGAATTGCTGGACGCTGCCTCTTGATTTATACTTCTGTTGGCCGCTGAACTGCCCTTTTCCACCAGGCCCTTGCTGCACACAGTCCCACATGGTACTTGCTTGACTGGACTGAGTATGACTGGGACCGGTACCGCTGACTGCATGGGGTTGCACTGCCGACTCGACGCAGTTGGACTCACAACTCACCTTCAGACCTCTAGCCAAGCAGTTTCGACCTCTACACAGCTATAACCCCTACTCGACAGTAACCCCAACTCGACAGATCTACAGATCGAACAGACAACAACCAACTACCAAAACACAGGTCGCGGGTTTAAACACTCAGGGGTCAACTCAATACTGTACATGGGTAAGGTAAGGTCTGGGGATCGAACTCTAGGGCCCGCATCTGTGACTGCAAAAAAGGTGAAAACCGTTTCACACAGGAAGAACAGCGTGACGGAAACAAAGATTACTGGGGGCATTTCCTGCGGACCTGGAAAAAACTATTCCCGGCCAAAGTGCAAGGAAAATGAGCAATAGCGAGATGACAATGTCCGGAATGCACAATCACATTGAAGGCCAGATAGTATCAGAGTGTCCAGAAAGCAGAAATGCACCAATAGAACACCAATGGAGAATCGTAACACTGAAAACCAATGTCAATGGGAGCTTGCTCTCGCCACCACCAACATGAGTGTCCATGCCCTATCTCCCTACTTGGCGCTTGGCGCCCAGCCTACTTCCTACACAGCTACAGTCCGCCCACTAATTGACAATGCAACTGTTGACGTCAGCAGCTCACGAAGTACTTGAAGATGTCGCCCAATGCAGACCATCGCAAATACCAGGTATGTGCCCTCACATCCTCCTCCTCCTCACCCTTCTCTCTCTCACCTGACTTACTTCCACGTCTTCGCTCTGTACACCCGAAGACCACCCCTGCACCTCACTGTAGTCCAAGCCCATCCAGCTATGGAGGCTGGGCTATGGCGCTGACCTCAGCAGCGCCCTGCTCCCTGCACGACCGCACGCGCTAGCACCTTGCCTCTCAGCGCCAGCAGCAGCCTACGAGTGTCCGCTCCAGCAGTGCTGCCGCCAGCATGCAAGTGCTSAATGAGGCTCCAGGCAGCGAGCTCTTTCCTATATGGAAAGAGCCTGCCTGCCTTCGCAGCCTGGCTGGTCTGGCCTGGGCCCAGAAGCTTCAAGTAGGCCCCAGGATGCTGCGCCTCTGTAGCAGCTAGTGGGCCTCATTCGGTTGGGCCTCCCAACTGTCTGTGCATGAGCCTGCGAATCTCGTCCAGGGCCTGCATCATTTTCAAAAGGCCTGGAAGGCCGTGGAATGTCTCGCTGCTCGGCCTGTGTTTCCCTCAACCAACTGGCACGACGAAACTGCCTGGACCCCAAATACAAAATTGACAGCGTAGGGCCTCTCGTGATTTGTTAGGCCGGCCTTCACTTAGGGCGGGCACATCTGCAGCAAGAGGCCCCTTACGCCTGCCAAGGACCCAGATCATCGCAAAAGTAAAACAGCCGGGAACGAGGGAGGAGGTTCTCAGGCAATCACTCTTTTGCAATCAATCGTTAACAGACCTGAGAGGAAAACCCTGGATTTTAATGGCCAAGGACAGCAGTTGGAGACCATGGCTAGAAAAGGGAATATGGCAGATAAGCACCTCTAGCATGGCGAGCAGAGGAAATGGAGAACCCACCTGGAACTTAAGAAAGTCCCTGAAGGCTGTCAAAATGTACAACAGAATCTGAATGATATTCGGGTTTAGACAAGGCTGCTGAAAAGAAGTTTCAAGTAGAAATGAATAGCAAACTTGGATCTGGACAACTCACCCATAATGGCTCTCTCTTTCATCAAACGGTGGGACCTGGGCAGGAATGGTGCCTGATGGGAAAGTACGGCATATCGGAACCGATCTAAAAGACAAGCCGGGTAAATGGTACCTGCAGGGCACTGGTGGCAGTCAAGCAGCAACTTCTAAGGAAAGTCAGGGTAATAGAGGAGTATACAATTTACGACCCGGTTACACCAATCCAAAATTTGGAGATCGACCCCGTCGAGTAGCCTTGAAATAAAAAACAACAGCTCTGTCTTTCATCAAAACGTTGGGACCTGGGGAAGAATGGCGCCTGATGGAATGTAAGGGTCAAAAGACAAGCCGGGTATAAACCTGCATAGCGCTGGTGACGCTCCAGCAGCATCTTCTAAGGAAAGTCCGGGTAACAGAGAAGGAGTATACGATTTACAACCACCATCCAGTATTTGGAGATCGACACAGTGGAGTGGGCCTGCAAATTAAAAACTAGGGTCGGCGGTATAGAGCAAAGGGTTGACCTCCTCAACCATACCACACGGCTCGGATACAGACTCGGAAGGCGGTCAGCGAACATACGAGATAATAACACAACGATGGAGGATACACCAGGTGGCAAGATGGAAGTGCTGGCAATAATATCCTGGACCTTTATTTTGGCAATAAGAAATGGGCGGGTAAGAAGTCTGCAGTGGCTTATAATGTATCTGGTACTCCCGGCCAACACGCGGCTGAATAGACGCCAGGCCCAGATTCATAGGAGCAATGTCAGGGAGTTCTGCACAATCTGTGTCCAGGGAGAGGAGGAGGACATCCAGCATTGCCTTATCCAATGCCCAAAGGGAAAGCAAATCTGGGAGAGGGCCCGTTACCTATGGAGAATCGTTACTAACAAATCAATGCCAGACGACAACCTCAGCACACTCATTGGTTTTCTGGAACCCAATGGACTGGAGAAGTACCAGCAAAAACTGCTGAGATGACCTCCGGAGAATCGTTACTAACAAATCAATGCCAGACGACAACCTCAGCACACTCAATGGTTTTCTGGAACCCAATGGACTGGAGAAGTACCAGCAAAAACTGCTGAGAAGACTGAGACTCTTGGTGCTATGGATAGTATGGGAAAGACGGTGCAAGGAGACGATAAACAACCAATAGGTACCGCTGAAGAGGCATGGGAGGGTTTCATGCAAATGCGGGAGAAGTATCTCATGGACTGGCATAAGGAAAAGAAGCAGATCATGAAGAACCCAGACAAACACCAGGACATCAAGGATAACTTGTGAAAAACACACTTGGCACAAGAAAGATTGGCAGCCTGGGAGGAGGTACAATCAAATCCAACTGGAGGATAGGTTGAGCAATCCCACAAGATTGAAAAGATGCTTTGATTTGCCATAACCAGGTTCATCTCCAAAAACAATAGGGAAGTAGATAAGCATCTTGGGTAGTAGTGCCAGCAATATCCCCTTACTTGTCATTCTCTGGCATGCTCTTATCCTGTGTCATGAATTTGCAGTAAGCCAAATGTCCAGAGTGCAGAATTGATTGCACAGATCAAGCATGGGATTACTACGGGAAGCAAACCCGAGGCAGAGCAAGTATATTAGTGTAGCCTCTGGATGAGAACCAAGGCAAGGGAAGGCTGGCGCTGACTTGAACCGGTGTCAGATTACAAGAGGAAGCTACTCACCAAGAAGGATGACAGCACCGTAATCAAAGCGATGCCTGATGCAGCGACCTGCAAGGAAGAAAAAAGAGTTCCCATGCACCAATGGGCCTCAGTTGGTACACCCATGGACTGTTGAAATCCAGACACCTGTTTGAAATTCGAATCCCATTCAGCTCAGACGAGCAAATAACTTTGAATTTACTGGGGCCGGTCAGTTTGAAAATGATATCTGAAGGCCATCACCCTTTTTTCAAAAAGAATATTAGATTCCATTTCTGCATTCATCATTGCCTTTCAAAATGCACGATTGCTGGCTACTTATTTCACCCTGATGATTTCACATTTATGACTGCATGGTTTTCTCTGCAATCAGCCTCTTTGCGGTGTGTTCTTTCATTTGCTGATCCATACTTACCCTGCGGAGATTTGGAAGAGTTTTCCTATCATGTCTCTGAAACGGTTTTGCATAAGCTGGTTTTACTATTTCGTCGGTATCACACCATCCTTTTCCCTCCAATCGTTCCGTTCATGATCTCTAAAGCCATCGGCCGCGTACAGTTAAGATGTCCATGGAAGTAGACCACTCCAAAGACTGAAGTACAGACTCTCTCTGACATTAAATGATTAAACTGAAAAAGGATTTGCAAGAGGGTGTTTTTGTAATGACCGGCACAGTTTTCAGTCTTGAGTAATCTTTTCATTTTACTGAGAAAACCTCTGCCATTGATATGTGTGCTGAGATTTCCGAGTTTGAGTCTGGTTTGCTGTGTTTTCAATCTGTGTAACCCTGTGTGATTATGTATGTGTGCGCATGCTCTTGTCTATTTGCCTGCTTAATTTGAGTCTGCTTTGCTGTGTTGCCTGTGTGACAGGGATCAACCCTGTTCTCGTGCTATGTTTTCTGGGTCCCACGAGAGATATGAAAGGCATTCCCCGGTGCAGACCCCAAATTTGTATCCCAGGGTCAAAGTCCCATAACGAAAGAGGCCAAGTCGGCCAGTTTCAGAAAGGCAAAGTCAGGTGCCCGAGACTTCAAGTCCAACAGGCACCCGGTCAACAGTCACATCCACGAGGCAAAAGTCACATTCAATAGGTAAAAGTCACGTCTCACAGTTAAAGGACATATCCCACAGGCAAAAGTCACGTCCCACAGTAAAAAGTCATATCCCACAGGCAAGGGTCACGGCCAACAGGGAAAGGTCACGTCCCACAGACCCAAAGCAGCAGCACACCAAGGAAAAACCCAAAAGGCACCGGGCCGCACATTCTGAAGCAAACAGGCCGCCCGCATGTGGTACTGGGTCTAAGTCAAGCCAAAAAAAGCAGAGACTAAAACGAGTCCAAGCACAGTCCAAGTCGATATAAGGACTGGCCAGCCACATTTCAGACAGATTGCTCATTCGCAAGTAGTGTGGAAGTGCTGCTGGTGCGCTTGTGCGCTATCTGTGTGAGGCAAGCGCTGGAGCCCTTACTGAGCAGCGCTAGGATGGGGAAGGAAGGCGAAGCTCTTTTTTTGCGCTAGCGCCTAAGGTTAGCGCTATTTTGCGCTAATTTCGCGCCCGGTGACCTCAGCGCCTTTCAGGGACTTTTCGTGCACAGAGTCTCACTGCGCCGAAATCAATTTTTCCGTGCCACTTCTTTCTAACCTGGACCGGAAATCGAGCAAGGAAGCCACGCCCTCGGGCGTGGCTAGGAAGGAGAGAGCACGCAACCATAGCCCAAGGCATCATCACCACGGACAAAAGAGCAACAAGACAACGGCATCAAACGAGTAGGAAAGCGACGAGCAGAAGGGATAGAAAACAAGCCTCCATGAGTGGGACGACCAAGGACAAGATCCTTTTTTTTTTCTTTTTTTTTTTTTGGAACTCCTGAGCTGGAGCTAGGGGTGCTGGTAAGAGCAGACACCGCTAGCACCCCCGGCGAGGCTCCATCTATTGGTGGGGAGCGACACCTGCTGGAAAGCGGGTCCAGCGTCCCATAACATTGAAATTGCATTTGTTTGTGTGATCAGGACCAGCATTTGTAATGACCGCAGACTACCCTGGCTCACCTTCTAAACATGGAATTCAGACTACCCTGGCTCACCTCCTAGAAGTGAAATTCCAAGCTTACACAGCAGTCTGAGCTTCTTGCTTGCATAACAGTCTATAGTAAATGCTAGTATGCCCCGGTAATATGACAAGTGCCGTAGGATGGGACACCCGTAGGCTACCGGGCAGTTGTACATAGATTGCCGTTTGGCAGATAGAATAACACGACAGTCATAGTTACATACTTATGCTTACACGACATTTTCTGATGAGTGATAGTATACACAGGTCTCCTATCTGGTGGTAGGATCTTAATGAGTGTCTCGAAAGGGAAAACGGAGTAGGTGCAAGAGAGGGAGAGGATTCACTACGGGAGGGATACGAAAGTGACACTATGGGAAAGCGGGGTTCACACAAAGAAGAGCAGAGCAGGGAGAGGGAAAGAGAAGGGGAGCATGTGCGGGGGAGAACGCATCGGCTGTAGCTAGGGGCCAGGCGTGGGGAAAGAGCCAAGGCAACGAGAGAGGGAGAAGGGAACACATCGACTGTAGGCAAGGGCCAGGCGTGAGAGAGGGGAGAGGGGAACACACTCCTGCTCAGAACATGGAGAGAGGCATTCCCGCACTGGACCAACCTGCTCAGACATGGAGAGAGGCATTCCCGCACTGGAGAAGGGGCCCAAAGTCGAAGGAGGAAGTACTGAGACAACCCCTCTTTGGCAACGAACTACTGAAGGACGAAAAGGGACAGACATGGACCCTCAAGGGAAAGGACAAAAGATGGAGAAGATGGGTGGAGAATGGCATATGGAAGATAGAACATATATGGGATGACGAAAATAGAAATTGGAAAACAGAAAACGAACTAAGACCCCTGCTAAGGGGACACCATAACCTAAAGAAGAACATAGAGGACCTCATAGATAGCGTACCGATAGCATGGAGGTCGCTCCTGAACAAAGACAGAGGACGGTAAAAGGGAGATTGCGCAACGATGAAAATTCAGGAGTGCCCCTCAGTAGCGCTAAGATTTAGATCGACATCAAGGACTGACCCTAACCAAGCAATCTTCGACATACATGAGTTGGAACTATCGGGGAAGGCTATAACCATGGTAAGGAGCGAAAGGCTGGAGACACTAGAATTCAAGACCAACGACTTAAGAAAGATTAGAGTGCTTAAAAATGAACAAATGAGAGCAGGAAAAAAGGGTAAGAAAGAAAAAGAAACAACCTGGCTTTTTAGACCAAATAAAGATATAACAGAGCTGGAAGTGGACCCAGGGGAATGGGGTTGGTACGAGGATAGGGGTAGAGGGCGAGCAAAGAAATGGAGAGCACTACATGAATACACAGTAAAGATAGGCTACAAAACAAGATGTAGATCAGCAAACCCCAACCAGATAATAGCAAAGAGATGGGAACAGCACGCACAAACGGACCCCTCATGGCTACAAAATATACCTTGGACCTACTATTCCTCAACCAGACCGCAAAAAGTAAGAAGCCTACAATGGTTGATAATGCACCTAGCTGTGCCAGTAAACGGATGGTTGGACATAAGACGCAAAGAGGGTGATAGAACGGAGACCTCATCCCATTGTAAAATGTGCACAGGGAATCATCCAGAAACCCTGACACATTGCTTAATAAGCTGCCCTCACGCAGAGGCCTTATGGGACAAATGCTCAAAACCTGGCATAAACTACCATCGAAGGAATACCCTAAGGACCAACTCTTTCGCCTAACAGCTATGGACAAAGAAGGCACAATCATTGAAGAAAACAACCCAGTACTAGAACTTCTCAGAAAAAACACACTGTTGGTGACACGAAAAGCGAGATGTGGAGGCACACTAGGGAAAAGGACCATCTTAACGAATGAAGCGTGGGAAGAGGCAAGAGAACTGATGGAAGCGGAAATCAGAGTGGAATTGAAGCACGCCCTAAACAAGATGGACAAGCAAACAGAAAACACAGAGAAAATTAAAATTCAAAAAGAATTCGAGGAGGTATGGCTAAAGGGCTTGCCTCCGCATTTGGCATTCGGGCACTGGCTGCATGCTGCGCTAACGCTGGCCAGCGCTCACGCGCTCACGGGCGAGCTGGAAGGAGCAGGCAGCCATAGTCGAGCTGCGCTGCTCTATGCTGGATGGGGCGCATGGTGGTTCTTGGGTGCAAGTGGCATCTGTGAGTCGGGGATCGAGGTTGTGAGTGATACGAGAGACATACCTGGTGCTTGAGGCGAACGGCATTGGCCGAGATCTGCTCGTACTTCGGGGAGCTGTTGACGTCATCGGCGACATTGTATATTAGGCTAGATAGGATCTGCCATCTGTAGTCTGGGCGCCGAGCGCCAGATAGGATATCGACATTGGTTCTTCGTTGATGATGATGAGACTATTCCAGCATTGTCAATTATGAGCTTTTTCTGTGCTCTTATTTGGTGAAACTCTTCTGTGCTCTTATTTGGTGAAACTCGTGATGCAATTCTGCTATTGGTTCGAGCTCACGACTATCTGGTCTCATGTGTATGATGCTGTTTGATTTCTGAAGTTCGCTATTGCTCATTTTCCTTGCAATTTGGTATCGGAGCTGTGGTACGGTGCGCTCATCTGGCGCTTGTCTTCTGCCTGTGCGGTACATGCACGCGGTCTGCTGGGCGAGCGGCCGTGGGAGGTGTGTTGTGAGGAGGTTGGAGACAAGTAAGGCGACCCAGGAGGTGAGGGGCATCGCCAGGAAAGCTACAATGTGGTGATCATTGGGTGTTCGCAGTGTGATGAGAACTATCCGATGTATGATGGATGCTGAGGTGGAATGGCGGTGCAATGCTGGTTGTGTCGAAGCAACGATTGGTCATCACAATCAACATCGGGTCATCTGGTGAGAATAGTTGTGGTTGGGGGCAGCTATTTTGAGGCTCGTTGCACCTACCCTCTTCGACACTTCTTACCGTGAGGATGTGTGTTCTGTCTTGAGAGTCCTCTCATGTGAGGAGTCGACTGCGCTCAACCTTGAGAGTCGTCAGTGTTCACAGGG